GTAAATAGCATATCTCTAAATAGTGTTCTGATAATAAAACTAAAAGCTCTGATATTTTGTAGCTACTTTAACAAAACTAAAAATTAACTAAGTACTTACAAATGACTTATTTGTATAGTAAAGTATAATTAATTAAAATAATATCTAATCAAGGCTCTTATCTAACTACTGTTTTATAATAAAATACTGCTAATCTAATAACATCTTTTCTTAAAAAAATAAAGAAAAAGAAAAAACTTTATATATTCAAAAACACAAAAATATAGAAAAATATATTAAAATCAAAAAACTTTTTCTAATGATTTTTTAAACAATACAACAAAAAATTAAACTACTAAAAATGCTATAAGAAGATTCAAGATACTATTTTTAGTTCTGTCTTTGAGTAAATAGTTGTTAATGAAGCTTGAAAATATAATATACTGAAAAACAAGTATAACTTGAGTAATTTTTCTATCAAGCTTTTCTGCTTTCAGTAAACTCTTTGAGATATTTGGCTAAGAACTAAACTTATCTCTAAACAGGTTGTTGTCAATAAAGTAGTAATAGTATCCAAGTTGGTATTACTCAGATTATCTGCAGATAATTAGATATCTGAGTTATAAATTTAACTACCTGAATAAGCATACCTAAATAATACTCAAATAAATATATTCAGATAAGTATACCTGGATAATATACAAATAAATATACTCAAATTGAATATCTGAATTGAGTTATCAAAACTAAATTAAATAAAAATCTAACTTATAGCTATATAGAAGATATGCAAATATCTAACTAAGTATTTGGCAATTTTTTAAATTAATAAGTCTAAATTTTTTTTAATTATTTATTAGTAATATATTTAACTAGAAATATATATATAAGTACTAAGCATACTAAAGTTTCATAATATTTTTAGATCTTAAATTATATATATCAAACTAAATAAATCTATTATACCAAATTATAAATTTAGCTAAATCAGCTGAAAAGTTATTTGGCTAATTTTATTTGCTTTGCTAAAATTTTTAAGTTTATATAGTGATGTATATAGTCTTCCTATTTAAAAAAATTATTACATCTTTTAAACTAAATATTTTGAAGAATATAAATTCAAATTCAATATACAGAATTTAAATTATAAACTTTGAAATATTATAATAAGATATAGTTTAAATCTATAGCATTAAAATAAGATCTAAATTAAAATTATATCCTATTAAAAAGAGTATATTAGATATAAAAAACAACAAGAAAGACATCTCAAAGTAGCAGAAATTAAATAATACTACTTGAAATGATATAAAATTCAATTTTTTTATAATAAATAAAATAATAATAAGCTATAAGTTGAATAGTTATAAATATTTTAGTTGCTTTCTTACCCATAATAATATTTTAATAAATCTGATTTATTTAAAATAAAATGATTTGTATACTAATATAAAGCATTCTTAATTTTCATTTTTTAAAATAAGGAAGTACAAACTATTTCTCTTTATATTGTTATCTACACATCATTTTATTAATAATTCTTAATATAAATCGAAATAGATAAGAATTTTCTAAACATTAAACCTATTTTTAACTGAAAAAATAAAATAATAGCAGACCAATATGGTATAATAACCAGAATTGTATAGTATAGAGTATATTTATTTTACAAACAGTATTATACTCATCTGCAAGCCAGACTATTAAGCTTTTTAGACTCTTTCTACTATGGTCTTGCTTGCTTGTTAGCTATATATTTTAATTATATATGATATTGAATAAATAGATACTATATATAATATACTATACAAGTATAAGTGTTATTAAAAAAAATCTAATCTTCAGGTTTTTAAACTTATTATTTGTTATTTGCTAAATTTAACCTAATGACTATATATAATATATAATTAAATATATTTATATCATGTATCTCTAACTAGGCTAAATCTAACAAATAATCAATAATAAATTTATAAGCCCAAAATATGATTTCTTTTAATATCACTTATATAGCTCTAGTTATCTATACTATATTATCTTGTAATTTAGAAAAAAAATTAGTCAGCATTGTAGAAAATATATACAGTCTTAATCTACAGTAGTGCTATATATACCAAAGCATATTTTGCATAATCTAATATTTAAAATCAAAAAACCAATAAAGTAAATATTGTTTTAGCACAGACTATTCTATAAAAGAATATAACATACATAGCTTTTTTTTAATTTTAGTACTTTAGCTTTAGTGCACTAATATTTTAATATTAAGCATTCTAAATTACTATAATATTAAAGCATTAAAAGCAAATTACAGAAACTCAAATATTAATAACAAATAAACAAAAAAATAAATATACATAGATATTTATCTTTTTATAATAGCGATCTGACTTACATTCTGTATAATATCAAAAATGGTAAAATGCAATTTACTATATCAGAATCGCTAAAATTCTAAATATAAAATTGATTACTAAATTAAGCAAAAGAAAATTATAAAACTTAAATTGTAATGATCAAAGCTTATCAAATTTACTAAAATTACAGATATATACAATAAAATTGCTAAAGCCTATAGAATTTACACAAATTAAGTCTATTAAATGCAATAAATTAAATTGCAATAGAAAAACCTTATTTTTCTTTTATGAACTCTAAGTTTTAGCAATTTTGTTATATACTTTGTAATTTTAGTAATTTTAAGTATATTTTCATAAAATATATATAATAAAATATTACTAAAGTATATAAGATGTATATAAGAAAGATTGTTAAAGCCTATTAAATACATCTAATAGAAAATAAAATGATATTTGCATAGATATTTTTTATAGAAATATTTATAAAAACAGCTTGCTATAATAAAGTCTCAAAATTTATAAAAAAGTTCTGAGTTTATCCTTTATTATATAAAACAAAAAAATTAATAATAAAACAATTAGATTTTACTGACTATTAAATACTAAACAATAAAAAATCTTATTTAAAATAAATTTTTTATATATAAGTCTAAACACAAAAACAATCCTAAATTAACTTTTACTTTTACAATTTCTAACAACATAGATAACAATAATAATTATAGCTTTGATAACATCCCTTATACTAGCTCTTATGCTGATTCTTATACTGGCTCTTATGCTAACTCTTATTTTGACTCTTATATTAACCCTTATATTAACTCTTATACTGACCTTATACTAACCCTTATGCTAATTCTGATACCAAACCTCAGGATAAAGATAATAAACTTTGTAACATCATATTCAAAAGTAAAACTATTGATAGAACTGAAGAAGAAAAAATATTAAAAAAATATAACAAATCTAGTAATCAAAAATAATTGCAAAAAGCTATATATTGTTGACTTTAGAAGAAAAGCCATTTTGGCTTATATCTCTGCAACCACTAGTCTAATTAAGATAAAATTACTATCATTCAACTCAGCTCATCAAAATGAATCTAAAGACAGTAAGATTATCCAAATTCAATTACAGAAAACTGTTGATCAAATAATTTAAATATAGATCATATATAGTGCAATCTGATAGGCTGATCAACTGTACGAAATTCTTTATATATAGTATATCTATTACATGTCATATTTATAGCATTTATATTATTTATTTTATATATCATATATATATTATTTGTGTTATATATAGTATCTATATTACATATATTATATATCTTATTAGTATTATTTGTAATATTTATAGTATAGGTATTAGATATACTGTATATTCTCGAAAATAAGCTACTCTGAAAATAAGCTACCTTCCTTTTTTGGAAAAAAAATATAAAAACTACTATTATCCAAAAATAGGTATATCTATTTGCCTTTTGCCAAATTTGGATATGTGTAACAATTCATGCTTAATTAGAACTGCATATTCATTTATCATCTATTATTATCATTATCATGAAAGAGGTTAAACTTAAGACTTTAACATTAGCATTAGCAACTATTTTATAATCAAAACTGCATGTTTTTATTGAGCCTGAATATATACATATGCTAAAAAGATAGATATTTGAATCGCGTGCATAACTAGTTTCAGAATAATATTTTTCTGAGCGAAATTATCTATTAAATTAAAACTGGACTTTTTTAGTTGAATCTGAAAATTTGGTTAAAGAAATATATACGTGTTAATTATATACTTGTAAATGCTAAGTACTTGGTTTTTTTTACTATCTGTTCTATTGCTAATCAATATCATGCTGTTGTGTTCTAATGTCAAATTACTATTATGTAGATATAATTACGCTCTTCACTAATAACCCATTTTCTAGATTATGAATTTAATTTATGTAAATTGATTACTGATTAAAATTTTTTTTTTCAATTTTGGTGGGCAGAGTTACTGATGTTTTGACATGGGAGGAAGGTTATATTTTATAAAAATCTTACAAAATGTGTATACAAAATTGTATATAATATGCACAATATGTATAAGATTTTATACAAAAAATATGTGCACTGAGCACATTGTGCACATTGATTTTATACACTGCTCAGAAAACAACTTCTTAAAGTATTGAAGCTTGGTTGTATTATTTAGAGTTAAGTATTTACTTTATATACAGTATATGCAAAAATATTAAAATTGAATAAACTAAAAAATTCTGTTTTTCACAATTTTGTCTTTCGCTACAGTCGAGTAATTATATTATTTTTAATCAATCAGTTGATATCCATTTTTACCTTGAACTTTGACCATTATGCTTAGGCATCTGATTTACTTTTAGTAATATGAATAATAACTGGAGAATTATTTAATGAGAGCATTCTTTGAAATTCAAACCATATAATAATATTTTCAAGTAAGAAATCTGTTACTTAATTTTTATTTAATAGTTTTAAGTTTTATATAATTATCTAATTGCTAATTTTTGAATCAAAATTTAGGTTAATATTAATTATGGTTTTGGAATATTTTATAGTTAATGGTGTGAATAGTAGGAATTATTTACTATAGTAAGAAAAATAAAAAGCTGGATGTTTAGTATAGCAAATACTAATACATTTGCTTTTTGACGTTATAATTAGTTCCTTTTATATTAGAATTAGGAATTTGAAAATCATCATATAAAGAGATATTGGCTTTTCTCTTTATTCCTGTCTTCACAATTGCCTCTATATCAGTATCAGTTATTTGGTTTCAGTTTTCTTGAGTATACCGATCCCATACTTTTTTAAATACCTCAACCTAACTGGTAAAAGTGATATCGCTAACTTTCTCAGTTTTTTTTTTTGATTGATTGGAAACACTGTGTGTACTGTGTGTAACTTGCCTTGAATAAAATTTTTGATAGACAGCAAAAATATGTTTGCACGCAATTCTACAGAATTTAAAGTTCACACATGTACATTCAAAATATGCTAGTTTCATATTTTCATTTTGTTGAACATAATCTTTGATACTAACCTCATAATGTCTGTCTTTTGCTGATTTTACAAGGTAGCATCAATCACCTGAGAAATTAAAAATGTCTAGGTTCAAACTAGCAAGCTCGCGCTGTCTCTGTTCCTTTTGGCAAGGTTTCATTTTTCCAATCATTAAACAGATGGCCTCACATTCAAATTCTGCATTTTTTAAAGCATTTCGCAATGTCCATATTAAGGTATCAATTCGATTATTTTGTTTAGCTGCAAAGTAAGTATATTTTAATTTCTTATGTCACGCTTCAATAAAGTTTGTTGTATTCATTTCTTGATATTCGTATAGGCGGTATGCATCAATCCATTTTTCACAATTTTTTTGATATTCTTTTTTAATATATTCTACCCATTTTATTTTATTAAACCCTGCCCACCTTTCTAAATATTCATCAAATTTATTTTTTATCTGGTGAATGTCATGAATTCACATTATATCATTAGGTTCATCCAGTGCTGCCTTCTGCGCTACTTGTTTTTCTGACTGTTTAAAAATATGACTATCTTTTTTATTTTTGG